TCCCTCCCTCCGCACCCGCCATAAAAACCATTGTCGAGCTGTAGAGATCTCCACTTGATGGCTTGATTGCGTCGATGGGAAGTAGCGAGAGTGCAAAATGATACCTCAGGCGAAATTGCCCCTTTTTGTTACCTGTCTATCTGGGTGGGAGTGTTACATCCGTCAGGACGAATGTGATGTTATGGATCATCTTGCCATTGGGGAAGAATTCGTGGTCAGTTGGATTTTGACTGCTGAACGTTGAGAAGTAGTGTCGTGAAAGAAAACGTTGAGGGTTCTAAGCAAGATGTCTGTATCGATTCTGGGGGTACGTTGGCCGTTCAAGTGTAGCTGGTCTTCGACATGTCATGAGGGGAGTGATAAAGGGAGAGAATGATAATGGTCTTTCTGGATTTTCCCTTGAAGCTATGGCACGAGGACAAGAAAAAGAAGGAAAGAAATAGAAAGTGGGAGATATGAGGATCGTGTTTGATTTGTTGGAAGGGTCTGTGTAGTGTGGAAATTCAGGAAAAAAGACTTCCGCCATTGCTCGTCCACACACCCCCTCACTTCTTGTTTCGGGACGTTGTGGGTAAGCCGCTTAGTGAAACTATACTTCTAAGTTGAACAGGGGGGGGCCTACTTCAAATACAGGTTTTACCAAGAGAGAGAACGACTTGTGCTCAGCGACTATTTTTATTTTCCTCCACCGGACTGATGAACGCTCCTTGGAACATTGGCAGCATGCTTGCAAAATATTATATTTTCGTTATACTGTGGCACTTCCCTTGAACTCCTTTTTTTGGAAACAGCAAAAAAAACCGCCGAAAATAACTGCTTGTGCATATCTAGGACCCTTTATCGACGTACAATTACCTTTTACAACCAGCGAGAGATAACGAACGATTTAACAGTGACAAATAGGAACTGTCACGCGTTTAAATCGTATGTTCCGCGGTAGTGGTGCCTATATCAGGATCTTAGAAGGCATCAAAAATCTTAAGAAGCTCTCACAAGGAGTAGTCGTGACGTTGATGAAATCTCTCATTATTTAGGTTGAACCTCAATCACTTCCGTCACCATTGAAAGATGTGGTATGCCTCAGTTACATACTTCTCTATGAAGATCTAAGCACGTTACGAGCACTACTGCAGTACTACAGGTAATAAATACTGAATGCTAGATTTTCAGCCAGTTGACTTCAGAAGGCGCCACGTATTCGAGACTTTGACAAAGGATACTAGGGGCGTTTGGAGGGGTTGGTCCGTAGTAGAAAGGGCTTTAAGGCAAGCCAACGGTTGAATCATCGGATAAATCCTTGTCAAAAAGTCTAATGATCAGCGTATAAGCCGAAAGGTGAAGTGCTCGGTTGACCTAGAACGGCTTCTATCAATTGATTGCTGTGAAAGGAAATAACCAGGTAATGGCTGGTTATCCAGTTTTCGACTTTGATGTAGGTGGACGATTCTAGTCGTATGGATATGGAACAGAGGTGCGCAGCAAAAAGTAAGCGCCGTAAGTAGTTACAAGATCCATGGGCCGATCCTGTCCCCTGCCCAGATGAGTTTTTTCTTATCTTCAGGGTCGGTTAATTACCATCAGAACTGATTTCAAATTGAAAAAGCTTTACTAGAATTATACCACTTCGCGTTCTGCAATTGGCTGGGGAACAGTCGGCTTTGATGACCCTCATGCGACGATACTGTTGCGTGCAGGAGCGGAACACATGTGATCAGAGTCGACTACTTCTTCTTCATCTGCTTTGCACTGTAGGCTTGCAATCGGAGCAGCACTCCCAGTTGCGGGTCGGGAGGTCCACATTGCAGCGGAAAAGGGGTTACTAGTAGCTTCACTTGAGCAGCAGAAATGCCAAAGCCTCACCGAGTCACTGTAAAAGCACTACAGTATGCCGCGTCAATTAGCACTAGTGAACGGATACCTAACTGCTGTGGATCATCGCTACGCGAATCTCCCGACCCGCAGCATCTCCATGCAGAAATTGAACAGCTGAACACTACTTTTGATGTGCGCTTTGTTGAAACTATAACTCGAAATTTTTTGTTTCAGTCAGCGAAGCGATTTGATGGTACTGTATGTGGGCAGCATGAGTGACGAAGTATTCGCCGAAACGACGCCCTACAAGTGGAAAATCGACATTGTTGCATGGCCAATTTTCTCGAAAAGGTTAGCGACACTGGTGGACTCTTGCATGATCGCGCTACTGGTGAGAAGAGCAGTGTATAGCGTGGTTGAGAGAATGTCATGGGGGTCATATATGGCGGTTGTGGTTCGTATTTGGTCGGTGGGGGTCATAACTGGTCTTGACAGAAGTTTTCTGAGACGCTATAGAAATTTTCTCAGTCCTCAATTTTTTGCCGTATTTCCCTTTTATTACCGTTTTTGTGTGGTTAAAGATCTCCTCCCCCCCCCCTTCCGCATCCCCTGTCCTAAGCGGCACCGTCAAAGTCCTACACTATCTGGGACAATAGAAACCAGTAGTCGACTGGCGACCACCTCCCTCCTTTATCCCCACCCCCTCTTCCTTCCCCTCCCCGGCGACACTTTTTTTTCGGGCGAATCTGGAGAAACTTCAGCAGGAAAACCGGGAACGTTAGGGAAACATGAGAAGAT